AACTAAACCTTACAGCCAACCCTGAGGCCTCGGAGCTGGGAGTGTTGGGCTTATGGCGGGGGCCACGAAAATGCGTAAGAAAATAGTGAATCGGATAAGTAGTAACGGGACCCGCAGGAGCTTGGTGTACAGTAAAATTGTTGAGATTCAATGGTCTCGTTGTTGGAGTAGAGTCGGGTGAGTAAAGGTTCCCTAAGGCGAAACTCGAACCACACATAGAGTTACCGAATTTGTGGGAGCACAAACTGAAATTACACCGAGATTGTGAAATCCAGAAGAAATGTTCAGTAAATTGGAATGAACGCGTCCCAGATCTGGCTGGCGCCGGGTGAACAGTCTGTTCGTATTTGTAGTTAAGGCAACGAGTGGATGGAGGGATACTCTCAAGAGTGAAAAGGGAATGGTCGTTGGTTTGCTATAAAATTGGGTATTTCAAATTATCCGCATGGCTGATTTGCTTACGTGAGCGAGACTTAAAGGTCGTCAATCACCACGGGTTATGAACAAGGCAACTAATTACGTTCTAGCGCAAACCGCTTGCACATGACTAAGTTTTCTGATAGTTCAGCAGCTGAAAGTTTCATTGAGTTTTCTAGGAACTACGTGGTCTTCTTGGATAAACTTTGCGGAGGTGCTACTCCTGTAAATAATATTGATCTTCGTATATCCTTGACTGGACGAATACGACATTATGTGTTCTGCGACCTCGATAATTGCTATTCCGATTTATCACCGTGGAAGACGCATTATATTTTTGGATAAACCGTGTGGGGTTTAAAGAACGTAGGACTAGCGGAGCTTGATGACTTGTGCGAGTCTGTCGGTGAACAGCAGAGTTCTCCACTGTAAATGGCACAATATTCCAGAACGACCACGTCGCCCATCATAGCGTATGGCTGAATGAACCTATGTGACGCACCGGACTAACATGCTGGTAGGGGCCCATGATGCACACTCAGCTAGCAACATGTGACCTACTTCGGTCATAGCTGAAAGTTGAATGAACCTGGTGCCCGTCCAACTATACTAGAGATAAGTTTAAGGGGCAAATTGTGACACATGAGTTATTGAATTTTATTGATCATTTTGATTAGTGTATATGTCCTACAGAGTAGTGTATAGCCGGACGCCCTCAAATGAGAGAAGGATACGAGTTTGGTTATTAAAATATCGCTTCAAGTGAGCCGGCTGTCAAACAGATAGCAATGGTTGCTCTACAGAGGGAGCATTTCAATGGCGACAATACGGTACGTGCTAGTTTACACAACGTCATCTTCAACAACTGATCCGCACTGCGTAGTTTTCTGTATCTTGTCGCCTACTGAAGTCTCGCTGACAGACGAACTGTCTGGAAATCATCCTCATCCCTTTCATCTAGCTGACGCTCTACAACGTTAGTCGTAGTAGTCAGATATTTCACTCATTGGTGTCAATTAGCTCCTCCTTGTACCCAAAAATACGAATAAACACAGACGTCCGGGAAGTATTCTGCTGGGATTCTGTTATACGTAAACATCATAAAACGTCTTCTTTGCGGACCGGTTAGCAAGCACACCTCTGCTTTTCCGAACAGGCCGGGGCCCAAGAGCCAGAAATAAATTATTCATCTGTGGACCGTTTTTGGGACCAGCCCGAAGAGCAGTACCGCACGCGGGTAATGTTCAATATGACAACGGTCTCTGTGATACGTTACTCGATTGGTTGCAGACAACTGGTCGCTAGTAGCAGAAGGCTGGTCACAAAACACACAAAAGCGCAGGTTTGGTTTGAGGTGTAGTATCCTCGACCGCCGACGGCAGGTCGCCAGTTGCAGCCTTGATTCAGTAGGATGTGAACCTGAACAACCAACTGCCTAATGATGACTGTGAGCCTTCTGAGTTGCAGCACCTGAAACTTCCCCACCCCTTGGTTGAGCTGCTCACGCAGGCCGTCGATCGGCAGCTGGTTGCGGCCAAGCACGATGGGTACTGCTTGGAACCGACTGGTCCCTAAATGCAGAGAAAAAATGCGTTTAGAGGAGCCACTTCGTCCACAGGAGGGGCATTTGCATTCTCCGGCGCAGGTGTCAACTGCATGGGAGCACCTGGATGTATGCAACACGAACTTTAAGTTAGCTGACGTAAGTTGACCTCACCTTGTTGGTTCCAACACTATGATACTGTGGCCCAAGCGTTTGCGGCCCAAAGTGCTTCAAAACGTGGGTACACACACGCATGACCATTTGAGGGACAACGTTAGGAACAAAGCTGTCACCTTCCGGGATTTCCCTAAGGTGGCAATTATATGACATGCATCTCATATTCCCGAATGAGCCACTCGGCGTGCGGGGATACTTGTACAATCTGCTCCGGTGTGTCTAAGTTGTGCATTCGATCTTTCAGGCGGACGTTTACTTTTTAAGGCGATTGTTGGTCATTACCAAAGGGAAACGTCCAGAATCGTGCGTGTACAACCCATTTGCGCGTGATGTACGACGTGTGGGCCAGAGTGTGAGAGACAAATCCAAGGTGTGCGCGGCCCAGTTTTCGCATATCATGCCAAAATGTGTGCTAGTTTTGCGATAAAAAAACTGCTGTGCGGCATTGTCCACCCTACACGGTGGAATATATGCCGGGCGTCCTCAGAGTTTGTCTGTGACCAAAAGCACATGGGTGATATATAATGCATACGTGCTGCCTGGTGGTTTATCTAATAAGGAAGTCGCTCAACATTACGTCATGACCAAAACTACTCTCGCCGCCGACATATATGCGACCAACTTGTACGTGATAGAAGCCTTTGCTTGATACTGCTCGCCCATTATTTCCCTGAAAAGGAAGGACGAATTACGCGCGAGAAAAAACTATCAGCTTTTAACGAAGGTAAACATAGCCGGAATCCCGATAACCATTCTATTCTTGATGAGGAAGGTGCAAGGTTTGTGTTTACGGGTCCGATATTAGTGGCTTTAACGAAACGGTTTGTTGCCTAGGTTCAGTCAACACTCATTAGAAGTCAGACACGTCAAAACAGCGCCATCTGCTGCCACCTGGCTACAGTGAGCCTTCCCTGATGGCTGCATAGGCATATGTTCGGTCTCCCAACGTATCGTTAGGATCGTGAGAATCAATTCAGCAGAGTTGATTGACATTTCCGCTGTTAGTTCTATATGCCCGCAGTGGTAACGACCTGGCCAAATTTGTCGGCCCCAAACTGCCACATCTCACATGGCGGCGTTCCATACTTTGACAGATGCAAATGCGCAACACCCACTCGGTAAGCCGTCGATTTACCAGAAGCCGACTGAACAAAAAGCTCAGAAACCTTATGGTTGTGTTCGAGACAATAGGTTACCGTGAGATGGTCCCCCTACCTCAGACAAACCGTACTGGACAGCAGACATTCTGCATACTGTTTGATATTAGATAGCACGCTCGGCTTACCAGCTTCTTCGGATTCCTCGAATCTCCGTTTGTCTTGCAGGCTGCTCACCACATTTATAATACACCTATTCGTAACACGAAACAGCGTTAGTGCTTCGATTACTGGGTGCACGCACAAACACGACATAGTTATCCTTCATGTATTCACTTAAAGCATTTTCAACCGCCGTGGAGGATGAAGGGGAGACAGCCCCAGATTTCTCATTAAACATATAGAAAACCACTTCTAGAGCCATATCGCAGCAAGTTTCAGGTCGAACGCGCGCGGAAAATGTACAAACGAGATTGTTCGAAGCAAATAGAAACGGCGCTTGTTATTCACACCATGGAGTTTAATATTAGAAGGCTACGAACTGTCCCTGATGGTCTAAAAGAGACATGCAATTGAGTTTAGAGTACGAGTCTGAACTTCTGTGCCTCATCTACGCACCACGGGGTCTCAGCAATGCTAGTAAGTATTCCACAGAATGGAAATAGTTTAGGTTGATTTTTGGCTTAACACACTTAGAACGAAATGCAAAGTTTTTTTATGCAATTCGCAAGGGCTTTGCAAATAAGAGCGTTTTGCGCCTGAAAGTCGGTGCCACACTAGATCACTTAGCACTTTCTTGCATCTATCTCTCTTGCTGCCGCACTCTGTACCATTCGCGCCGTGCCTGTACATAACTGTAAACACGGCTATGTACATATCCAGTATATATCCAGCTAACAGTCCCAGCATTCTCTTTAGGCTTCTCAGAAGGAAGGATAGTCCTGTGCAAATGTATACCGAACCAGGAAGAACGCCTTCGTATCCATTTACGTTAATCAGTAGCAATGATATTCGTAGACCAACCTTCAGCATTTTCATGGCCGCTCATCTTCCAATGTTTATGCCTGCTGAAGTAAGCTAGAATTAGCGTATGATTTAGGCATGATTTAGGCGTGCAACTGCATTGAAAGATGAACCACAGTGTCTGTAACAGCAGTCCCACTAACTGACTCCCACTAGTGCACACCAATTACGAACATATTGAATCTCCAGAATGGTGAAGCAACCATGGGCTCCGATTCTTGATAGTTGAAAACCACGCACCAAGGATCATGTAAAGCTAGCTGCGCACTCTTCTTCTTTGACCGCTCTCGACCGCGAGCCCTGATTAAGATGCAGACTCCTGGGGGGACTGACGGTTCTAAACAGTGATGAGGAAACTCAAGTGTGGTGCTTGACATTAAATTCAATCATGTGTAGCGACAGTAATACATTCACACTCTATACAAGTTAAGTAAATGATGAAACGCATGGGGAAGCGGTGCTTTTACGTAAGAATCCTGGATACGTTTGGGCTCTCCTCGCCACTATGGACTTGGGGCTGATCTCAGCTGAGCTGTCCGAGTCGTCTCCCATTCATTGACTGGCTCAGCAACAACTGCAACAACAGTTAACAGTTGGGTATGGAGGGGCCTTGGTACTGAGTGAAAATTACATTTTAAACCAGAGAACGGAGAATATATTGGCATTGTTTTCGCCTAATGCGCTAAGAAAAACCCAGTATAAAACCTTTCTTGTTTGTCTTCACTAAATCAGTAAATTGTAGTGGCACTTATGGCACACTGGTTTAACTTTCCGTTATGACACTTCGTGGGGTAATCCATCGGTTACCTGTGTCCAAGGTGAGATTCCACTTGTTTTCTGAGATAAAGCTATTCTCTGCTTTACAGCGGTTGATATTACGCGGTCGTGTTTTAGTCAGGTGGAAAAAGTGATTTTCAGGGGACTCAATACGCAGGCGCTAACCCGAGCTAACACCAAGCCGATCAGTTTGGATAATCACAACATGTACACTAGCGATGGTGGTTATAGGAAGTCAAGCAAGTAAAATTTTAGCCCGCTCATACAATTCTGATTCTCTGAGATCAGAATTGTAGCGGAAGAGAACCTCGAATTAGCCGTGCACTCTGATGTGAGCTTTGACCTCATGTAGTCACTTGTGGGAATGGGAGAGCAACATAGATTGTTGGCGAAGAAGAGGGTTTTACTCGTAGTCGAGCTGGGACTGTGTTCGGGATTGCCTAGTTCACCAGTGACGTTTTCTGTTCAGCCGATCCGAAAACTCCGAGAAGCCTTTCATTTGATGTGGTGTATTTGGGTCGTCCGTAGTGGGTACAGGCGTCAAGCGCTGTTACAGTTATTAGAGATTCTAACTCTTCCATGGGAATAAAACTAAACAGGGGTCCTGCTCACAGGACTTTAATCCCAAGTATATCCCACGGTGAAGGACAGCATTTGGGACAGCTAGGTTCATGAGGGTTTCCACAACTGCACATAAAGTCCTAGCGCAAAATGGTACTTCCAGTATGTCCGAGAAGACCAAGTCCCATTGTATCGTCTATAATGAGACGTTCAGCTGTAAGGACTTCAAACCATTATAATCGACTTGAATTAACGAGGTTATGCCAACATGTTGGAACTAGCTGGTTGTAGGAGGCTATCGTTGAAGCCCGATTGAAGGGAAGTTAGTATCACCAGTCTGCGGTTAAGTATCAGAGAATCAAATAGTGAGTCGTTAATTCAATAAAGTTATGTGCGAAGTTGGAATGAATATATTGTCTACGTTGGTGAACACGGGGAGGCGGCTGATGAGTCCTGTGGGTAAGCTTGACTTAAGACAATGAATCTGTGAGATAGGGGCCAGAGTTTTGCTCTTCTGTGAGTAGCGAATCCTGGATGAGGGTACACACACCCCCTAGTGCGAGCACATGGGTAGTAAAGACTGTACGCACTGCAACATGAGGGGTCCGTTTTTCTATCCTGTGCAAATGACGTAAGTCGGAATTTAGTGAGTAGTATCAGTTCGGAAGCCCCAAACAAGGGGTCACCTTGTCGCAGTTGTTTGGTTCCAGGACTACGGTGACCCTGCGAGCTACAGTGGTTGGAACCTAGTTCCCTAAGGTTTAGAAGTGTCGGGAAGATCAGTGAGGAAAAGCCCAACGGAAAACAGCAATCTGCCTTCAAGAAATCTTATTGCCGGTCAACGAGGAGACAAAGTCGTACTCTCGTATGCCGTAGGACTGGAGTCAGTAAGGTGTATTCCCCAGATTTCCATGTATATATTTATGGGGCGGCGATGCTACCTTAGCCGGAGTAAGGAGAGGTTGGGAAAGGTCGGCCCTAAATATCTGGAAGGTCCCTAACACTTCGTAGTTCGGACTCTGAATTCAGATACTAGAGGAAGGGCCTTTGAACAGAACCGTATTTCTGCAACCGGCTTGACGATCTGAGGCTCAAATGACCCTCTTCTTCGGCCTAAGTGACCCTTGTGGCCCTTACAACTCTTTATTCATTCGCCCCCCTCCACACATCCTTCAGTGCCTTAACTGATTGTCGATTGCCTAACAGCTGCCTCCTATCTGAGCTTTTGCCCAGTGAACTGAATCAAACTAAACCTTTATTAAATTTAAAGGATCCGATTCACATTGCTGCTTTCAAAGTTCGCAGTGTTAGTCCAACTGCTCCCTTTTTTGATGGATACATGTTGTATCTCCGAAACACACACACATACCCCAGTTTGATAACACATCTCAAATTGCTCGGGACGAACTCGGAGTTCACTCTTTGGATGTCTGGTTATTCTGATGCAGTAATCCATGGCATCCACATCGTGGGAGTTGTACTTGACCTCAGGGCTAAATGCGGTTTATTGGGCTGGATTGTAGCAAACAGTCGCCTTTTCGCTGTTTTACTGACTGGATCAATTAAACTAATCATATCTGGATGTGTTTATTTGTGTCAGCATGTGTTCCGATAGACTGCAGCCTTTAGGCTGAGAATGACGATTTTTATCGAGATTTTGGTTAGCATGAAGGACAGATCGTAATTCTTGCTGGTGGTATTAATGCCTAGGTCTGCCGACTTGGTTGTTGGGGCAGAATTGGTTGATACGCACCGCACAGAGCGACTTCCTCAGCTATATGCAGAGAGTCGTTTTTTCTCACAAACACAGACTTTAACACAAGCATTCACCTTGTGGCTTTGAGTCATCCAACTGCAAAGGCAACCTTGGACTTATTTGAACTCTGTGATAATCAGCTACCGGTTAAGAACCCTGGCAAAAGATTGCCGTTCATTTAGGAGTACACCAATTGACTCCGATCACGGCATTGTATGGGCGCTTATGTCTATTCGTCCTCCCCCAAGGAACACACCAGATGATACAGAGCCATTCAGTTCATCATTTGCACAGCGTATCTGTAGCCCAACAGTATGGGGTTGAGTTAGTTGAAGAGATCTGATGTGTCGACGGGTACGATGGTTGTGATAGTAACTTGGATAGCGATTGATCGAAGGCAGAAAAAGGTATGTTCACATCTTTTTAGACCATATGCACAAGTGTTCGTTGGAGTATACCAAAAAACACTATCTCGTCACAATCAGGAGCTCTGATTGAAGCCGAGGAAACCATGCCAGCAACCAACGACTATGATGGCGCTTGCATATTCCTCAAGCTCCGAATAGTGAAGAGCTTTTAGGCTCATAAAGAGAGAAATATGGTATGCTTTTACAACGGGAATCGATCTTCAATAAAGTGGAATCTCGTTTTTTTCTCAGAAACGTCTGAAACGATGGACTGAACACTTCGGAAAACAGCTTAGCTCATTTTCCTCAGCCTATCCTCCAGAAGGAGCATGTGAGCCATAGTGGGGGGTTTGCACCAGTCCATAATCGTCGACGGAAATCCAGCCTGAAAATCCATCACAACAAAGCACCTGGCTTGAGCGATTTGTGTTGTGTACTGTTCAAAGAAAGTGGAGAGTCCCTTGTAGTTAGACCGACGACTTTAGTGGCTAGAATGACCATCGAATGCACACAGAATGGAGTACCTCGGCCTTGACTGTCACATCCAGAAAGTTTGCAGAAACATTTTGTGAAAACCAACGGGGTATCACTCTAGCGGCCATGACCTCAAAGCCTAAGCAGGTTGATCCTCCCATCAAGAGAGTCATACTCGCGATAACCAAGATGGCTTTTGCTATAGCTACGGCTGGATCGATCATATTTCTACTTTGTAGCAAATACTGAAACTGCGTCTCTCCTTACAGTGACTGGCAGTGGTTGTTTTTCTCGATCTGAGATATGCTTTCGCCATCGCCGATAAACTGGAGTGTGGAAGCGTCTAGTGATGCAGGGTGCATTTCTAAAACCTTGCCTCGTATAAAGACCCTGTATGCGTGCCTACGGCAAATGCTGTTCTGAGTTCACTACATCCAGTGGCATCAGACACGGATGCCCTTTGTCGACATTTTTCCGATTTATTAATTTATATGCTGCATTCAACATAAGTTCGTTTTGTTCGTAGACTTCCGGAGACCTCCCCAAAAGCTCCCGTACACAGAGCGGTGTCCGTCAGGTGTCGCCACTATCTCCATTCCTATTTAATTTCTTGATCAATGGGATAATGAGAGGAATGCTGTGAGGTCTCCAAAGCCCCAGTGTTCTCATAGCCTCTGACAAACACCTTACCGATATGGAATATGCAGTGTGACAGCCCTGCACGAATCTGCAGGGTTCCGGTCGCGTTTGCCAATTTGAGACACCTATGGGATCCAAGCGGGATACCCCTAAATATCATCGGACGTGTGTATCAGGCTACGGTGCGGTTTTTTGTATGGCCAAGACTTGGAATTTTTGAGCAACAGAACTAAGACGCCTACAGTTGTTCGACAGTTGCACGAATCGGGTTCCGGTCGCGTTTGCCAATTTGAGACACCTATGGGATCCAAGCGGGATACCCCTAAATATCATCGGACGTGTGTATCAGGCTACGGTGCGGTTTTTTGTATGGCCAAGACTTGGAATTTTTGAGCAACAGAACTAAGACGCCTACAATTGTTCGACAGTCGTTGTCCCAGGACTGTACCTCGTGTGGTTTGGTGTCGGCAAGTCCGTAACGAGGTGACTGGAAAACGAGTTTTTGGTTGTGCGGCGGGGAATTCCATTGAATAATGTGTCTAGCACCAGGAGCTGCTTTGGTTAGGCCATGTATTGCGCATGCCAAAGGGAGTGCTGTTTTCCGTGCCCGGTTCAAAGTGGTGGATGTAAAGGGGTGGCCAATCGGTGACCTGGCAGAGAGGCACGAAAGAAGTTACGGAAAGTCTGGGTGCAGCCGGTGCTACTCATCTTCCAGAATGGGGACCACGTGATCCCTACTGCGTCTGTTTGGAGAGGCCGCAGGATATGGCTGCTGGTTGATGTCAATGGCGTTCTTATTGTCAGTTTCCATCCAGATTTTTCTGAGCGAGTGTCTGTAAGTGTACTTATTTCGGTATGATTGCCGTAAGCTAGTACTATGGCCCTTTCCCATCTATCCTTACTCTTTTCTTCACGTTAGGGCCCTCTAATTAATCACATTTGTACGGCAGTAGGACACCAGTGTTGAACACTGATCTCATGCTGTCGACGTTGATGATGCTCATGATGAAGAAGTCCAGCGTAAGGCAGCGACGAACATATGATGCCAAGTGTCTCGTTGCAACTGGAGTTACGCTGGTCCTTTCGTGGTTATCAAATTCAAAACCCGTTCCTTTTGGAAAATTCAATGCCACCGATTCTTCTCAGTTGTCTGAGACAATGTCTTCTCAGCTGGAAGCAAGTGGATTGCACGGTATCATCCTCA